GACCCCTGTTTTCTGCTGAAAAGAGATTTGCCATTTCATCACGGGAAGTCGCTCTGAACCCGCTCTCCTGTTTAGCACGGGAGTTCTCTTGGGGCCGTTTCTCTTCTGGAGAAGAAGATTCCCCTTTCCTCAGGAGATGTGCCCTGACAAAAGCGCTTTTGCCAAGGGGAAGGAATTCCGAGTCGACTCCCATCCTCGCAGGGAAGGAGTCTCCCACGCACGGGGAACCAGAGCCCTCCTCTGCCCGGCGCCGGGGGCTGGGGGCAGCGCCACGGCCACCCCCAGCACAGACGCCTGAAGGTTGGGGATGGAGGTGACGGGCATCATAAAAATTTGGTTGCCTGGCTTGCCAACCGGCTGGTCACCCTCTTCTCCCCTCCACAGCTCGCAGCCAGCCTCATGCTCTATCTCTCGGGTGATTTTAAAAGCATTTGCCAACTCGCAAATCTCTAGCTCAATGGCTACTTTTCTCTCAGCTTTAGAAAACCAGGTTTGCCCTAAAAGAGAAACACGTGAATGCTAATTATGTAAATAATTAATGCATTTTAGGATTGGTTTTTGAAAGGAAAAGAAAGGAAAAAAAAAAGATAATTTAATGCAAAGACCGTCTGAAAGACGACTTCCAGAACTGGAAATATTCTTTCCTTTGAACTGCTTTGAGAAACTGAAAAGCTTTAGCTCTTTATTTTTCATAAGACACTGTGCAGGTAAAAGGACTTTGAAGACTACAAAGACTAAAAAAAAAAAAGTTTGGTGCCTCACTTTTCTGTGAGATTGAAGTAGTTGATGAGAGTAGTGACAGCTACTTACCTTGACCCAGAAGCCACTTCCTTGATAGATGTGCAGCGTGGCACAGCTCCTTGAGTTAGCCTTTTGCATCTATGAAAATTCAAACCCTATCTGCTGAGAAGAAAAAGCAAGGGAGAGATTTCGCCAGCACATGTACCCCCGAGGAGGCTGGTCTGGCATCCTTAACACCACTGGGGGCAAGGAGCCCTCCCCAGCCACTCCAGAGAATGCTTCTGTAATGTGTCCATCAAACTGAAAAGAGCTTTTCAGTCTTTTAGCAACTCCTATCAAGTTGGGTGCTACGTCAAACATGGGCCACCCTGCACTGTTTATTGCAAATTAGGCAAGGCACACGCTGGGTTACACTGGGAGAAGCACAGCCAGCTGATGGGGTGTGCCAGGCCACCAAACCCAGGCAGTCCTGTGGACCTGGGTGTCCCTTTCCTCTGCCTGGGTGGAGGAAGGATCCCTCTATTCCTGGTCAGAGTATTCACCGCCTGATTCTTGTAACTGCAAACCAGAAGTTCCTTATTTGGGTCAGAAGGAGGGTCAGCCCTTCTACTCTGGTGAACTGCTCAACAGCGATTCTCCTGTATGGATTCTTTTTGGCCACTTTTTCCCCTCACAATTCACATGCCACAGCTTCTAGGTTTGAGGTGGGTTCACCATCCCACCTCCTCGTGTCTTCCTCGTGGTCATGCAGACAGGGTGGCATGCATATGTGCCCATAGTACTTTTCCCCTTGAGCAGAGAACAGCTGAGATGATGGCTGGTATGGGCGGGGAGGAGGACATGCTGTCTTTGAATAGCAGAAGCTGTTGGGACAGCTCTCTCCAGCTGAGACACAGGCCTGTAGGGTTGGGGTGGAAGGGAGATTCTCTTTGAATTGCTGGAGCTGGCCAGTCTACCCACTCCTGGGGCCTCAATGTCTGGCTAACTCATTAGCACCAGCATGCTGCTGTATGATGACGGTGTGCTCCGTAGACATTTCCACCACATGGACCACATGCACTGGGCTTCCTCTGGGTCCTTAGATGCCTGGTTGCTCTCCAGGCTGCTGTAGATCTCCTCTACCACTGCTAATTCCCTCAGATACTGGATACCACTCTCAGAGTTTGTCCACTTGCCTCAATAATTTACAAGATCTTCCTTGAGGGGATACCTTTCCTTCATGCTTGACAGGAGCTGCCTCCAGAGCTGCCGGTTGCTGCCCTTATCCAATCCCTTTGCTGATGCTCTGGTCCCTCATGAGGGATCCCAGCTGCTTCCTTGCCCTCTAATTCCTGACTGTTGGCCCCAGTATTCCAACATTGGAGAAACTAGTGGATAATTAGCTCACCGGGTTGATGGCTATAATCTTCGTGCATGTCTCGCAGCTCACTTAGGGACAGGGAGCGGGTGGTTTCTGGCTCATTTATGATTTCTGTCTCTTTCCCCTCCTGTTCTTGTGATTGTTCCACTGCACAACCAGCTGCCCCTCTGACTCCTCATCTTGCCCCCTCTTAGGAGAAGCTTCTTCCTCCCTGAATAAGCAAGTTGACTTCTCCTTCCTTTGTTTCTTCTTGACTATAGGATCAACTGATATAGTTAAGAGCTGGGTCTCTGGCTTAGCCACAGTACCCATTTGTGTCTTCAGATCCAGAAACCCCTCTTCTCCTCCTTGAGGGTGCTGCACAGTGCTTGGGAGGCTTAGGCCAGGCCCAGCACGGTGTGAGAAGTTGTGTCCCTTTAGCATGGCCAGGGTGTCCTTTTCTCAGATGTTCTGTCCCTTTACCAGGACCCTGCACTTGTTTGGGGGCCAAATCCCACACCGTCAGATTGGTGGGGGAGGTGAAAACCGTCCTAGATACCTGCCCATATTCTCCCACACACCCTGCTGCCCACGAGCAAACCGCCCCAGGGCAGACCCCTGCATAATACTCCTAAAGAGTTAACCTCAGGAAAAGCTGGAAACAGATTCTTGAGAAACACCAATGTGGACATTCCGATTACCCAGGGATGTTCAAAATACCGAAGAGTCACTGTTACAGGTGGAAAGCCACTGCCCTGCAGGAGGTGAAGGGGAAGGCACCGGTCCTTTGTTTCCTCCACAAATTGGCTCTCAGAGGAAAAGAGGGAAAAGGTGTAATTGTTAATTGTCTCCACGAGATGGTTCCCGAAGTACTGGGACGGCAGCAACGCAGGGCCCGAACAGCAGATTAGGCTCAGGGCCAGTGCTTTCATCATAGATCTCCCGGGCAAAACACAAGCGAGTGCTACACGGCACAGCAAACTGCAAAACCAAACCCAGCCCTTAACGAGCTCTCAAATCCGATGTACAGCAAGAGAGGGAGCAATGGAACAAATAAACCTGCATCAACAAAAAGCAAGTATCACAACCAGCAACAGCTGAACAGGTACAGTAAGTTCCCTCTAGCACACTCCGGTCAAATGTCTCATTATCTTGAGCCCTCTGTGTCCCACGCTGGGTACCAAGGAGGACCGTGGTGGACTCGCCCTGGATGGCAGGTAAGCACCTCACAGCTGCTCACCCACTGCCCCCCACAGCGGGGCAGGGGGGGGAGAATCAGAAGGTAAACAGTGAGAAAATTCATGGGTTGAGTTAAAGAAAGTTTAGTAAGTGAAGAAGGGGAGGGGGGAAGGTAAAAGCCAGAACAAAGGAAAATAAGTGATGCAAAAGCAATCACTGCCAGCCAACTGACAGTCAGACAGTCCCTGAGCAATGGACCCCCAGGAGCACCCCACACCCCATCCACTGTTTTTCTTGCTGAGTGTGATGTTACGTGGTGTGGAACATCTCTGTGGTCAGTTCAGGGCAGCTGTCCCAGCCATGCTCCCCACCAGCCCACCCCCAGCCCACTGGCTGGGTGTCAGAGCGAGAAGCAGGGAAAGCCTTGGCGCAGCAGTGCGGTAGCAATGCTGGTTTGGTCACAAATCCAAACACAGCACCATGTGGGATGCTATGAAGAAAATTAACTCCATCGCAGCACGACCCAATATACATCCTGGTAAATTTTTCTTTTCTTCCTCAGGAGGCTGCTCCTGAACTGGTCTGTTTTGGGCTCGCAGCCCAACAGGGATGATTTGAAAGTCACGCAGGTCACTGGAGGGCAACCCTGTTAGTCAGGGTCTAGCACAGATGGCCACCAGGAGAGGCTGACAGAGCTGGGGCCACTCTGGCCAGCAAGAGGAAGCTGACGGGCAATTGAACTGCAGCACACAGCTGTGGGACAGGGAATTAGCAAGGCAGCGGAGCCAAACAGTTCCTGGCAGTGGTAGGCAGTAAATAATGGGCAACGGCCACCAGCTGTGGTGAGAGGTTCATGCCAGACATCAGGAAAACTCCTTCACAAGGACGGTGGAGCAGCACCAGGACAGGTTGCAATGGGAACCGGTGGAAGCTCCATCACTGGTGACTTCCAATGCCTTCACGTTGGCAACAGTCCACTTCAAATGGGAGATTTCACTAGATGACTTTCAGCAGTCCCTTCCAGCCAACGTTTCTATTCTTTTAAGTACCTCAACCTTTTCCAAACAACCCTCCTACACACCATTATCATAACTGTGGAGCTGGAAATACTCAGCTGGCAGTTAAATGACTTTCCAGCTCAGACCTGTGAAACAGCCATTCCAGCTACTGCAGCTGTGCTCTCGGTAGGAGATGAATTCAGTTTGGTTTAAAAAGCAACTGGGACCTTGTCCTGTATTTTGTGCACCCGTGCAATGGTCCAGCAGTGCACTATCTGGGACAAGTTCAGAGGAGCAGCTGATTGGAACGTCTGGTTGAGCAGCTGGATGATGGCAGTAAATGGTGCGAATGCCTTCCTCAGTCACCCCCAGGCCACAGGCCTCCCTCTCCCCAACTTCCTTACAGAGGTGGTGGGGGGAAAAAGAATCAAGGAGATAAAAATAAAACCAGAACAGCCTTAAGGTTCCACTGTTGCTCACAAATGGCTTAATGTGTGGGGAGTATATTAATACACAGCAGTGATTAATTCACCAGGAGTTTGACAGAGAGGTATAATACTTTGCTTGTAGTTTACCTGGAGGAAACAAGACAACAAAAATTTCTCAATAATTAAAGGCAAATACCTTAAATGTAAGATTACTTGATAATATTGGTAAGGGACAATTCATTTTTTTCTAAACTAAGTTTAAAAAATAGTTTAGGAGCAATCAGAACTTTCTGGTGATAAAATTTAAAAAAATCATTAATTTTTGCTGATTTGCCTTTATTAGTAAAAAGTACAAATAAAAGAATTGTACTTTCATGAAGAAGTAAACCAGGCGTACACAGTTTTGCAGTATGTTTGATATTTCCTTCACACAACTGAGGTGACTGAGGGGAGATGGCTCAGAGTAGCTTCAGCAGACCCAAGCTTCTTGCAGCCCTAAATCATTACGAACCCCTTGGTGTAGATGTAAGACAAAGAAAAGACGATGTACGGCTCCTAACCAGAGCCAAAAAAAGCTGAAATACGACTCTGGTTGAATGCAGGTATTTCTTTCAAGCACATGTTTTACATGAGCAGAACTTCAGGAAACTTCACAGGTGAAAACGTAGGGCGTTTAGCAAAGGCAGATGCCTGTGACTGCCACTGCCTGGGCCACGCTTCTCCGAGTTCCTCTGCTCTCTGCAGCCACAGTGCTACCTCAGGCAGGAGTGCCAGAGCCCTGGGAGGAGAGAAAAGGCCAGGGAGGCACAAGAAAGAAAGTGCAAGGTCCGGCGTTGAAGCCATTCTCCAGAACAAAGCGAGTCCCAAGTTCTGGATGCTGCTCCCGTACAAAGACTGTGTCTCAAGGGTGCTTATTCTACATACAATATTATGGTATAATATAGGCATATATTACACAGACTATTATGTACATTATGCAGCGTGTATTTTCAGTATATTTTTAGAGGATAGAGTTTTTATTTATATTTTGCATTGGGTGGAACACAACATGCTGGTCTCTGACAAACCAGCCGTGCGGCAGGGGGAAGGGGTGCAGGGGGGGGAAGGAGGGAGGAGAGAATTCCACAGAAATCACTCCACTTAGTGTTTGAGCGAGCGATGTAATGAAATCTGTTTGCTGTGCTAGCTGTCTCCAGATTGGGCTGTAATTACACCACAGAAGGAAGAAAGGTAGCTGAGTCTCAATCTAGATCACTTATGTAAACTCAGCCTTCTTGTCAACGGCGCTCTCGGGTTGCCCGCATGCAAACCACAGAAATCATCTCCCATGAACAAAACAGAGACGGTCTCAAATTGCAGGCTCCTGATACACCTTAGACGCTGTCTGTAATTGGACTTGAAAATTCAACACACTCGGGTTCAAAACTTCTCCAGGATTTTCTGCGTTTTATTCAGCGCGGTGAAAGACGGTACTCACAGAAGAGCACTCCTCCTTCCCTTCTGCCAAAGGCCGATGTCTAGCCTTACAAATTAACATTTATTTGGCTTCAACAACGCAAGTGTCACAAACCTAGGAAATGCTTTTGTGTAAGATCGTGTTGAAACAAACTGCCTGATCTGAGGGAAGGATATTCCCTCCCCCAGGAGAGTTGGAAAAACCTCATTCTTTGACCCAGAGCCACACATTCTATACGCACAGTATAAAACCCAGGCAGTCACTTCCCTTAACAGAGCCAAATTAATATTTGATTAAATATTTTAAAGCTCCTACTTACCATGCTTGACACATTTTCTCAGCAAGTTTCTCAAATACAGAAAGCATTAGGCACAGGGTAATTTTACATTTGAATACATAAACACAGTGTGCAGAGACATGACTGCACGCAGAGAGAGAGAGGATTTTCCCCCATTAATCTCCCGGACTGCCCTTCCCCTTGATTAGCGGGAGCGTTAATTCCTGGCTTCGGCAGCTCACTCTCTCCGGGCAGCTTTGAGTGGGTTTCTTGTGACACCTGGATCTTCACACCCCTCCATCCATCCATCCATCCATCCATCCCTCCCTCCATCCCTGGGGCAGGAAAACCACCGGCCTCCGCCCTGGCGCCGTCCCCGCCGGTGCCCAATCAATACCGACTTATTTCCTGTCCATTTGCTGAGGTCACGGAAACGGGACTCATTAATTATTTCTACTGGTGCAGCCTCAAGTGCGCTTCTGGCACGACAAGCGAAAAGCCGGCTGTGACCTTTTTTTGTTTTTTTGTTGTTTTTTTTTCCTTTTCTTCCCCCTCCCGAATTTTGCTGGTGGTGGCAGCAACTGGTGCGTGTTCCTCCGTCGGGTCCTGGAGGGGGACGAGGTGACCGGTGGTGCGGGGGCATCCTCGGCGGCGTCCCCGGTGGGTCGGCTCCCGCCGGTGGAGGGAGAGCGGCTGCTCCCGGGGGTGGTGGGTCAGGGAAACCTGGTGACGGCGTAGACGATGTTGGCCAAGGCGGCCCTGGCCTCAGAGGGAGGGAAGCGCTCCAGGGCCGCCAGCGCTCTCTTCCCGTGGCAGCGGCAGAGGTCGATGGCAGAAGTCACACCTTTGCCGGCCTTGATGGCTTCCCGCAGCTGTCAGAAAACACAGGCACAAGGGGGTGGGTTTCGGCGGGGCCGGGGCGCGCAATCACCTCTGAGAGCACAGGGCTCCCACCACCCCTTCCCCAGGTAAAGGCAAGAACCGAAGCCATCAGACAAAGCTCTCTGATGCTCCGTTTTGGCTCGCCTCTACAAGAGAGCTGCAGGTAACTTAAACTACATCACCCGTTACTTCATCACCTGAAAGATGATGGCTCTCCAAATGGTACACATAATTACACAGAATCACATGGGGTTGGAAAGGACCTCTGGAGATCATCTAGTCCAACCCCCTTACCAAAGCAGGTCCACCCAGAGCAGGTTGCACAGGAACGTCTCCAGGTGGGTTTTGAATGTCTCCAGAGATGGAGACTCCACCACCTCCCTGGGCAGCCTATTCCAGGGCTCTGCCACCCTCAAAGTAAAGAAGTTCCTCCTCATGTTTAGGTAGAACTTCCTTTATGCAAGTTTACGCCCATTTCTTCTTGTCCTATCCCTGGGCACAACTGAAAAAAGATCGGCCCCACCCTCTTGACACCCACCCTTTTAAGTATTTATAAACATTGTATTTATAAAGTATTTATAAACAATTAACAAAAATAAGAGAGACTGTTGAAATATCTGGGCGCACCGTACCTAGGCCACTACCTGAGAGCTTTTGTGCAGAACTGGCACAGCAGCAGCTCACTCATGCTCTCGTTTTCTGCTGTAAAAAAATGGATTTTATGGACACTGTATTTGGAATCAGGCACAGGATGACACACGTTGGACTCTTGTCTTTTGTAATACAGGCTTCTATTTATATACCATATGATTATATTTCCTATAGTGGACAAAAGCAAGTTTTGCCAGTAAAATGGGATATGTTAAAGTTTATTGTAGTGAGCTATATGCACACACACTCAGTCTTCTCGGTAGGGCTAGGGAATTTGACAATGGTTCAGAGACACCTCATATGAGAAAGAAAATATTTTCACGGAATAAGAGATATTTCATAGCAAGCTGCTGGCAAGATCTGGCACCTAAAAACTTGGGTAAATGACAGGTTAATTTGCTACGAAATAACATGAACAAATATGTCAAACAAAACATGTTGTTTTTTCCCAGTATCTCAATTTAGCTGAAGCTCTAATTAGTAATCACATTTATTAAGGGCTTTTAAAAAATTATTATTTTATCCTGGACAGCATCATGAGACTAATGAAACACTGGTACTTTTTTCGACCTTAAAACACAGGTGTCCCCAGACTAACTCCAGCCTGATGCCTCATGCCAGAGCCTGGGAACCAAGGCCAGGTGGATCTTTGAGATTTGATTATCCCAAAAGCATGACAGCATTTAATCATCTTTAACATGTCCCACCTGGCATGAAAGCATGAAAACCAAAGGTGAGTTACATCACTGAATTGGCTTTTTAAAAAAGGGCTTTTCTTGAATACAGGTTATCTACAGTAACTAATTACACAGCGGTTTACAAATTATGTTTTCTTCCAATACACAGCTCAATGCCCCAATTCATTTACAAATACATCAGTATAACCTTATCTATCTACTTTAAATCATGTAAAATTATCTAAGCCATGACCAAGTTGGAAAAGCCACCCATTTTTACAGATACTTGCATTCATACAGAATGAATGACATTTCTTATCTGAACACAAACCGAAGTGGATTCACTATCTGTTATTTAAAGATGAAATTAGCTGAAAGCGTATTACAGCACTTGAGTGTGCCAGTCCCAGTTCATAAAAATTTTATTCTCCACTTCAGCTAGAATCTTCCCTCACTGTGTGCTGGAAAGGAGCTTGCCCCGAGGCATAAAGGCATTGCATAGTTAATTCAACACGTCCTCTAACGAATGGGAATCGGCCACAGAACCACAGCTCTGCGGCAAAGGCGGGGACAGGTGAGCGGCGGTGTGCCAGCAGCCTCAAAAGCAAGATCCCACATCTTGAAGCAACAACCTCTGCTGATTTGCTAAAGCTCATTAAAAAGGTTTAGCGTACCTGGTAATATTCATGCAAGTATATATTGAGATGTAAACAGGAGAGAAAATAGCTCCTAAGTAGTCCTCAAACTGGTCAAAGATGAGAGGAGCTTAGCTTAAGCGTCTATGACTGCATGTACGTACTGTGACTTACTCGTACCACCAAAATCTGGGAAGGGGGAGAATTCTAATGCGGGGACACAATCCATTTACACGCTTGTCTGGTGTAAGCCCTTAGACACACGTAGTGCCTTGAAGCCAAAACAATCGCAAAGCTCGTGTCAAACCATGTGCAGAGGAGTCACTACACAAAAATCAGACTAATCCGCCACTGAGTGTTTCCACCCAAAAGTTCCGAGGAACCTCAAAATGAAAATATGGCTACCTCCTTCCTCAGCTTTTCAGCTAGAGATCATCCTATGTAATGAATGGCTTATAGTCCTTAAAAACGTACCTGTTTTATATTCCATTTGCAGTCAGCTGGTCAATTCAAATAAGCATACACTAGGCAAAGCAGTTTGGATTAGCCAGACTGCATGCCACCTGTCTCAGCTGGGGTTGTAAAAGGGGAAAGGGGGAGGAAGAGTACAAATTGGGCTTCTTGTAGTGGGATAATTATTAAAGAAATACAGGATACAGCTCCATAGGAAACCAGGCTTCAGTAGCGCTGCTGTATGCAAAGCCCCCTAATTTAAGCCTTTAGCTGTACTGCCAATTGTATCACACAGTTACACTCTCACGCTCGCCCTCAATTTTTGACCTTCAATGATTTTTTGTAATGAACTTCACAAACTAAGTACATCAAAAAAAAAAAATCCATGTATCCAGTTTAGATGCACTATTTTTTAATTTCATTTGGATAGGAGCTGCTAATTTTTGAGGCAAATAGAGAAAAGCAAAATGAACTGCTTTTATTTGTTACTTTATAAACATTAACTATGCTTCCTCATTAATTTCTTCCAAATAAAGGAATCTGCTCTTTTAGTCTCATATGTCATCATTTTGTGCAAACCTATTTCTACTTGTAGGAATGATTTGATCCATCATTAAAACACAACCTTCTTCAGAGTGGCATTCAATAATTAAAACTGAATACCAGTCAAAATACAGATTGCTTCAACAGGCTTTTCTCCAGCTGACCTGCCAGATATGCTGGAATACCACATTCTAACTTCTAAGCTTTTGTTCAGGCCACGGGCACTAAAGCCCTGTGTCCTTCTAAAGGTACCAAGGATCTGAAAAATCACTGCCTGGGTTTTGGTTATTTAAATTCAGCTTAAAGAACTGTCTTGCAATAGTGCAGCCAAGTTAAGACTCGGGTGGGAAGTGATGCTCCCCCCAACACACCAACACTGTTTTCCTTCAGCACCTTCTGTCTTCCTCAATCTATTCAGGTATTGACCAGGCTTGACAGCTTTGCCTGATACACATGAAGCTCAGAACCACAAAGTTTTATGTCTGAGGGTTGCTCTATGAATCTAAGAAAAAGCAACAAGAACATCATTATCTTCACAGTCTGGGGGAAAAAAAAAAAAGATGCCTGGCTGGGCACTGAGAACAGAGCACGTCAAAAGCCTTGCTCCATTCAGCTATTCCATCTGCACTAAGCCCAGCCTCATCCATTTGACCTTATTTGCATTTCTTCTCACTCCCTAGTTTTTGGCTGGAAGGAGGGATGGCTCTGATCAAGAGTTACAGAAAGAGCAAAAGAAAAAAATATATATAAAGGAGGGAGGCACTGAGGGCTTCTCATTCTGAATGCTTTGAATACCCACAGGAGGACAAACTGCTGAGAGACTGGGCTCTATTTCTCCAGCTCCCTCCTTCCCTTCTGGTCACTCCCATCTCTTCAGACACCTTACAGCAGCAAACCAACAGGAGGAGAAAGGGACGCTTTCTGAGCCCTTCCAACTTTAAGGCTGCTTTCCACTATCTCTCTCTGCACCCACAAGCTCCAGGCACCTCCCTGCAAATAAATGGTAAGAAGCCATTGATTGTTCCTTGAAGACTGCCTCTTGGAAAAGAGATTGCTCACTGGAAAGGAGAGTTTTATATCAGCATCTTAGTTTCAAGCTTCCATTTCCTGTCCTTCAGGAGACAACCATAAGCACCAAATAGTTGGAGCTGGGACACGTTCCACTCAACCCTCTGAAGTTTGCTGGGCTAAGAACCAAAAACCAGAACAGCAACCACTTTCTATGAGAAGGGGGATCTAAGTTCAAGACTTTGGTCTGAGGATTGCTTCCATCTCTCACGTTAAAAGCTATACTCTTTTGGGAAGACCACGTTCAATAAACACTGATGTTTTAGACTGATGAAACGTTACCTTGAAAGTTACCGACATGTTTCACAGCTGGTACATCAACTTTGTCAATTTTTTTCTCTGTTTTTTTTTAAGTACCTTGGAATGCATCAGCATTTGCTCTCACAGTATTTGTGGCTGGATACAGGGTTATGCTCTTCCTTCTCAAAATAGGATGGACAATCATGTAAATGCATCACTTCATAATGTCATAAGATAAATTTATTTTTTAAAAAATCTTTGTTGGCTGTATGTGTAGAATGATACACCACTTGAAATCTTAGCAGTAAATGTATTTATTGAATACTTTCATCAAAACTTTTTCTATACAAAAGGTAAAGATATGTGTCTTTAGAGGGCATAAACACCCTGCAGAAACTTCCATTAGTAGTACTACTCATCTGACAAACAGAAAAAATTCTCTTCTTCCTTAAACTCAAACCCACCCTATCTAGGAAGAGACCAAATCTTGACAGAGTCACCCCCAGCTCCAGAGGAAAGGGAATGTTGCTACTCCAGCTGCTACGCAGCTCTTGTAATTCTTTTGGCAAAGATTACTGCAAGACATCCTGAGACACTGACTGATTGTACAGACCCTTTAATATTTTAGAAGAGACACCAACTCCTCCTCCTTAATGCCTTTCCATGTCTTTCACAATGAACTTAACAAGGCCCACTAGCTTTTAAATTGAAACAACGGTAGTTAAGTGATGTCTTTCAACCAAAAAGTATGACTTTCTTAAATCACATTAATGCAAATAGTGATTTATTTCATTGTCATCTTAGTATATACAAGCAATTAACTTGTTATTTATGTTAAAAGATGTAATAGTAGTTTGCTTTAATGAAACAAAAGCTGTGCTGGATTCTCACCTCAAAGAAGCCATGGAAAATACCCACTGATTAAAAACAAAGATGCAACTGATTATTGGTACTGGATGTACACTTTTGATAATTCAGATATTGTCAATTCCAACAGAGGAGCAAATCGCTCCTTCTGAATGGTTTTGGCTGCTTTTGTAATATTACTAACACAGCTAAAAAAACCCTATATTCGTTAAATCACTGACCATTCTGTTTGTTTTTTTTGGTTTTGTTTTTGTTTTTTTTTAAATGTATGTAACAAAAGGAACTAATGGCAGTGGCTGCTCCAAAACAAGCAAGACAAATTTTCCTGGAAAACCACCACAGGTCATCAGCATCTACAAGCACCAATCCTCTGTTTTTAACTCTTTGCTGCATTTCAGGAGCAAGAGAGCGAACAGTCTATGGGCCTGTGGTCAAACGACAAATCTCAAGATGAGTCTCTGGCATTTGAGCAAGGAGAACTGCAGGGACTGCTGTTGTTTACACCACGGGACTGGAAAGCAGCTCTGCAGAGAGCGCTGGAGCAGGAGGGATGCAGTAAGGGAGGCAGACAGTGGTGAGCAGTAGCATACTCATTGGCTGCAAAATACAGGATTTATTTCTTTGTTTAGCCCTATCTTATAATTTTTCTAGAGCTCTGGCCAGAAAACAAGAATTATTCCTAGCTTCTGTCAGTAGTTGTGCTTTTGTTACACTCATTTAACAAGTCTGTACAATGCCAAGCACCATTAAGGCCTCGACTTCAGTGGAGAGTTTTTAATCAGTATTATAAAATAGTAACAAATAAATAGAGAATCTCACTTTGTTGGTTTTGAATGGCATAGTGATGAAAAGTAGACGTAAAATGGATAACAGCTTTTGAAAAAGTCTTATATTTTTGCCCAAATCCCCCACACAAATGAAGGTGACAGGAAAGTCGCTGTCTCTTTCAATGACACACATGAATTTTGTCCCTGCCATATATTGGTACTTTCTCTTTTGTTATCTGAGAAACACCACTACCACAGAGCTGAAACCTCTTTTTCATCTCTGGAAGAGACTTTCAAACACCACAATGATGGATCAATAATTTGTCTGGATGCGGTGTGATGGTGTAGAAAAAAAAGAAAAGAGTGAAACATTCAGATACTAATGTGAGAAAATACATTCAGAAACACAGACCTTAAAATAAGCCTTTTGTGGTATCAAAGTCCTTCAGATAAAAAGATTGAGAAAAGCTGGGAGAAAAAAAAAACTAAAAAATTTTGCAGAACACAGTGACCTTATTGACATGACAGTCTCAGACCTAATTAAATTAATAGAAAGTTTTTCACCTCTATATTTATTCTGAATTTACTAGTACCATCTTGATATTTTTTTGTCAGTGAAAAACATCAGGGATAGCATTTTAATATAACATGCATCAAAAGAACAATTCAAAATTCTTCAGCAATCTCAAAATTGAAATAAAATAAGACCTCTGCCTTTTAAGGAGCCATGTTAAATGGGTGGATCTCAAATTCTCAGATTTACCTTTATATATTATTTTAATTAAAAGCCACAAGTCAAATATTCTTAATCAGGCTAAACAACTAACAATTTTTGTATACAAATATTTATGAATTCAACTGAAGTAACAACATTTTTATCTCAATTAAGTGGCACACTGAAGTTCATAATAAAAATTAAGAGAACAAAAATAATACAAATTTTCAGAGGTTCTACAGCTAGTTTTGGTGACCTTCACTTTTACAAAATTAAAGAGGAGATGTTTCAGAGACTCAATGAGAAGCAAGCCCCAAAATTTGACCAGGAATGTTAAAATAATTCTAGTAACTGAACAGAAAAATGAGAGGGGACCTTGACGCTGGAAAGAAAAGATTGAGCAAATATGCAAAATCCTGACTCCAGTGGTATAGAAATAAAGTCTACACAGCAAAGGGCAAAAACCAAAATACTAATTTGTACTGCACAACATACCTTCTAATTGGCTGTGTGTGTGTACTGGCCAAGCTACTGTGGCAAGATGAGGTACAGGTTACTGCATGGATGTAACTAATGACCACTTTTATTTTAAATCAAGAAACATAAAAAAGGAGGGACGTGACATCACAGTCTTGAGACCAACTTCTACAAAACCTCAAAGCTGATTATAGTTTGAGCTCACAAAAACCATGGAGAATTTTTCACTATCATTACTAAACTCATAATATCTGTGCTTATGTAAGAGATGACTACTGGGAGCTAGTAAAATTACATGCTTCCTGGCTGAAGACAATTGCGCAAAATACAACACTTGAAGAAGGGCTTTTCCCCTTCCTTTCCTTTTATTCAAGTGTCCAAGTTGGCTAGGAACAATCTAAGTTTTTCAATTTAATCAGAAGGATCCAAAACATGATATATTTCAAGTCAAAATACAAAATACACTGATAAATATTTAATTCATTAAAACAATTTTAGTTTTTTTTCCTTTTTTTTTTAAATTATGGAAATTATGTTGGGAAGATCACAATTGTAACAATTAAAAACATAAATTATGAAAGCAAGCCTAACTTAAACATTCACAGAAGTGTCTCATACTCAGACATATTTGAAGAAGAAAATTAGTGCTCTCAGCAGTGATTTAGAAAGGCACAGCTGTAGCAGTTTCTTCTATTGTAGAAAAAGCAAAAAGCACAATGATTTTAAACAGCAAGCTAAGGTTGAGATCTTTTTTATAGGAAGGACAGAGAGCTTTTTTAAAATAATCCAAATTACAAATTTCTTAATATAACTAAATTATAATAAAAAAGGTTGACCTGTACCTGTGTGTTAGTCTTATGTACTAGCAGCAATCAGTTATAGCTGTAACATTCTTCAGGCCCCAGTTCAAGAAGCAATTCTCAATCGTGCGTGTAGCTCAATATTTTATATATTTTATATATTGAGTGTTTCCAGTGGGAAACACTGATGCTAGAGATAACTAACTGGTGCCTCATGATCTACTCAGAACAAGACTCAGAACAAGTCAGGCTCGAGCTCAGTGAGCGAGTTGGGGACACCACCTCATCTTTTTTCTCCACCACAAGAAAGCTGTGCCCCAGTAGTTAATTGGGGAACCTTCTCAGCCATCTCCTGAAGCTCTCTAAGGTGTCCCAGCTACTTTCAGTAGATAAACTAGTAGTTCAGGTCTGCCTTTACTATAGACAGTCCCAGTATCAAATGCAGTGGTGACTTAGCTAAAAGCTGTAATGGGGCCTGGAAGAAACACAAATTACTATTAAACATGTGTGTGCCTATTTTTTTTAATAGATGGCATGGCATTAAGGTGAGATTAAAAATACAACAGTATATTTTATCAATATAGAGAGACCATGGATAGGAGCTAACCTGCAAATGACTGTGGAAAAAGAAGACAGCAAAAGCCGTAAGAAGTCTGGTTTCAAAACCAAGTTTGGGGAAGTAAATGGGATAAATAATGGGAAAAATTATTATTAAATAGCTACATTTGATACTTACAGTACAGCTGACTATTACTGGCTTTTTAACATCAAGAAATTGCACAAGCCATGTATGCACAAATTGTAACTTAATTGTAATAAGGAAGTTTCTCTCAACTGTCAAGAATATCCTTAAAAACATTACAAGAAAACATTAAAAGTAATAAGCAGATTTAAATGTAATTTACCAACCTTCTTGTAGTCCATTATATTTCCTTTTCCTTGTGCCTTAAAGAGAAAGAGAGATTTTATGTAAGACATTACATACTGCAAATTAGACTTGCAAGAATAGAGAGTGCAACTAGAAGAGTTACTACTTTAAACATAGCCAACTTTCTTTAGGAAAATGATATGGAAAAATCTAAAATACAACCAAATGTGTTACCAGCTTATACATCATGGTTCTGGTTCAGGTAAGAGCTGCAGATACTCAATGTAATTTTTAGTTAGATTTGTAGTTAAACATTTGTTGAGTTCAAAATGATTTTGTGTCAAGAAATCTTGCTGTTTCATTAATTAATCTCTCCCATGAGATTCTGAAATAAACTATAATTCATATCAGCAATAACAGGATTTAATTTCTTAAAAAGAGAACTCTCCCTGTATCTATAGTGATTTGCACTCAGTTAATAGTCTAGAGCTCTCAAAAGCAGATGTCAGGACCATGTCAGCGCTATTAGACCTAGGCTAGACATGCTAATTGTGCTTTTGGGTTAGAATTGTATTTAAGTACACAGCATCAGCCTTTACTTAAGCAGCAGATATGTACAACCTATGACTCCTAACACATTCAGAAAGAAGTATGAATACATTTTAAATTTCTTTTTGCCCAGATGCAGAAAGTACATAGACCAAATTCCTCAATTTTGTCACAGGGTGATACAGAAGAGAAGATGCCTCTGTCTTTCTCACCCAGCAGCAGTGCTCTGCCAGACCCAAAACCTTCCTGCTTAACCAACCTGAGGCCCTTTCCTCAGGTCAAACCTAACTGTATCATTATCACCTCCTCCAAATCTAGCTCTTCTCTTCTCAAAAAAACCTCTGCTGTTTCTTTTCCTCTAGCCTCCACAAGGGAAGCCCACAAACCTCAGTTCTTCTGTAACATGTCTCCTCTTAGGATGCAGATTAGGACCACTACCTCTCTGCAACTTCTGTGGGGACTTCAGGGAGCAGCCTAGAGGAGCAGCCCAACTGGCATAAGAAGAGCTGAGGCCTGCACTGAAGAGGAATGAACACTATGTGGCAAGCAAATCTTTGAAGAGATATTGCCAAGATGGCACAGATTTGGAAAATAAATTAATTTTGGTATGGGAAGAAAAATAAAATAAAGAACCAATGAGAGACTAAGCAAGCAGAACAGGAAAGAAAACAGTAGATAACAAAACTGATTTCACTGAAGGAGAAAGGAGACTGATCCACAAAACCTCTTTACTACTCTCTTTAAACTTCTTCAGAGTCAGCTCTTCTGGAATGCATATTAAGAAAACAGCCTGATAGCATTTGGGAGCAGCATAACCACTGCCAATAACTGCTTCCTTATTTGTGTAATCCCATCTCTTTGGTTTGCCAACTTTTATACATACCGGTTGGATCTTACGGCTTCTTCAAGATAAATCTAGTAGTTATATTGTATATCAGAACGTACCAGAAATATGTTCTTTAACAAATGGTTGCCTATACGCAGATTCACACTGCAGCGGAGAATTTGCCAACATGTTTGAGGAAGATGCTTTTTAGCCTCAGCAATAGCGGGAGAGGTGTGCTCAGCGTGCCTCCTCCCGCATGTGATACACATTACAAACAGCAAGCATATTTTTTCATGCTCTGTTCCTCTCAAGCATTCAAGTCAATGGCAGTTGTGCTTCTCCAAGCAGCAACTTTATCTCATCTGTTTCCTAAGCCTTCTTTACTACAACTGCACCTTTGCTTTTTTCCTTTCTTTTTATCCTCACAGTACTTTGGCTCTTCGACTGTTACTGACACTGATTTCAGACACAGATATTTTTTTTTTTGCCTTTTCCTTTTACATCAGGCTTCTGCATCTGGATTAGTTTCCTGAAAGCTTTTGAGCCTGATTTACAAAAGGTACACACTCTTGTCAAACTCTGATAATGCTTGGGGCTGGGGAGCTCAGCCTCTGGATGTGGGGTCTCCAGGCCCTCAAAGAAAAGCAGCTGCTTGCCTGCATATTAGAGACATTAATGGCCAGCTCAGCCCAGCCCTCCTCCCGAACATCAAAGCTCATCACGTGCCAGTAACAAGGCATAATTATACCATGACACTCTTTATTTATAAATAAGGTTGTGTGATACCAATGCACCTTGCCAGCAAGAAGGACCCCTGAATCCCCCATGAAATTATTCAAAATGCAACTGATAAGCAGACCACAAGTGGATGGTTAAAGACAATGTTTTTTGGAGCAGGTTTTCAGGATGTTTTCCAAGACTTACTTTTCTTTCTCAGATGAGGATGGTCCCTTTTGCGTGTCTTAAAACCTAGATTGAGAAATGCTTGATAAAGCATTTGATAAGTGCTTTGCTTCCAGTCCTGCTGGTTCTGAGAAGGCTCAGAAAGATACGGTGAAAGCTGCATGGATTTCTCTGGCCTAGATGAGATGGTTCTAGTTTCTGACTTATTCCTTTTTAAAATTACAGATGTTATGAGCTAAGACAGATTTTAGGCCTGTTCTTGAGGGATGCCACCTAATTTCTTCACTCAAACTTTGATCTTTCATACCCCACTGCTTAAATGTTGGATGCCTGAAGGCAGAGACTTTTTGCTCTTACCCAGTGAGAGGCATCTCTAAGTGGCTAAGTGTGACCAACTCTTCTGTCTCTTGACCCTTATGATCCTCCATCCTATAATCCTGGATTACCTGCTAAATTTTAAGAATACAGGGCTTTCCAAAAGGTCAGTGGGCCTGCATTCAGTAACCATTGCAACACTTTGCCTGAAGAAGAGCATTTAAGCACTTTTTTTGTGTGTCTGTCTGCCACAGTATTTCCTAGGCACCATTTCAGACTTGAGTGGTTTGGTTTTTTTTTTTCCTAAACTTTTCAGTACTCTACTCAGGCCTATACTGCTTTTAAAATAGACACTTGACCAAATAGTTAATTGGGCATTTTAATTTTAAATTCACAAAGGTGGCAGGTGTTGGCATTGAGGTCAGTGAGAACAGGAGAAACTTGAGTCTTTATGGATTATTCATTCATGTATGCGTGTGTATATACATATATCTCCATGTATACACACACATATACATACCTACAGATTTTTTTCCCCCTGTGACAAGGCTTCCCCCTATACACATCCCAAGTCCCTTTTAAGGCAGTCTCTAAATTTCATCAAATCAGAACTTAATCTTCTCAAAACACACCTATTTACTGTTGATGCAACCTCCTGCACCTGGATATCTGACGTGTTTTGCTCTTTCCAAATGAAAGGTGCTGCCTTTAATCCACCACATGAATGCTTACATGGGCAAACAAGTGAAAGGAGAGAGTCAAATTACTCAGCAGTAACTACAGGTCCATAATGTGATTTCCATACACCTAGTCATAACTCAGCTACTAAGAAAAATTCCACCTGCCAGGGGGCGAGTGCACCATGCGTGCTTTGCCTATTTAAACCCTACAGATGACATTGCACAAGAGGGTGGCTTATGAGCATCCTCTTACTAGTCCTGCCAACACAAGAAAGCCTCTGGTTTGAGTGCTTGGCCTATCTTGAATGTCACATAGTGAACGTGACTATGGATGACATCTCAAAGAGCTTGTAGTTAATGAAAGGCAATTTTCCATTCTAAATCAACACAAGCCAAGAAAGGCTCCTGGGCTTGGATTCCACTTTGTATTTAGCTAAAGTAGTAGGTAGTAGTTAGTAGATACTTTTGCATAGTGAATACTGCCCCCACCCTCCTTTTTTTTTTTTTTTTTCTTTTTTTTTTTCCCTTCCTTTGCAATAACTGTGAGCAGAGTAAATAAGTCCATTTTGATTTATCCACAAAGTACTAAAAGGAACTTTTATCTCTTCCTCTGTGTTTCCTGACAGTTTTTAAATTCAATGTAATGAAATCTCCCTTCAGACATTAATCACCCGCTATAAAGCTCAAGAACCTCACCAGTTAAAAAAAAAAAGAAAAAGAAAAACATGTTCTTTCCTCACTGCAATCTGCAAATCCGTTGTTAGAGCACATTTCCTTAACAACAGAAATTTTGCTCTGGCTTTGAAACGTCAGTTCTTGCTTGCAGCGTGACTGACCCCCCACCCTCCGCAGCGTGGCTCTGACCAGGAAGCCTTGTCCTCGCTGAGCGGAGGAGACCACAGGCCAGGGCTTTCCAAACCCACCTTTTCTACTGTAAGCACTAAGAACGATGCACATACTCCTCCTCTTAAGAGCTGGCTTGAGATCAGTAGTTTACTCCCAATAGGTCAATGAACAGCTGTCAAATATGTAGTGCAACTCAGCAACAACTGCAATTTGGATCCTGATGGATGAGTTAATAACTTTCATGTAGGTTTTCCTCCCCCCCCCCCCCTTTTTTTTTTTTTTTTTTCCTTCTTTTTTTCCCTTCCTTTCAGTGAGAACTGCTTCACTGCTTCCACAATGCTCATTTTTGGTAGGGGAATCAGCAAGCAGACAGACGGCACTCCTGGAGCCCCGCAATCTCCTCTAGATTCTGCAGATGGGAAATTGTTTCAAAGCTTTTATAAACTGTGCTGTGGTAATACCATTATTCTCCAACTGCAATCATCCAAGTCCATTTATATTCAACTCACATACGAGCCTTGTGTTGAGATCATAGAATTCCAAAATTCCTTGTCACACGTTATAAACTACCAGCCCCTAATTTCAAAATGACAAAAGGTTTGCTTCCCTTTAAGATCCCTCAACTCCATACCACTGTAAGGTAGCAGATTCTGCATATACTTCCCAAAATTTCACTGCTGAAGAGACTATGCCTCTTGCTTGAGATATGCAAAGGCCAGCTGCAACCTGGTCTTGTGCAACCACGCACAACCAGGCAGAGGCTCAGACTCCACACCCTCTGCCCAAGAGTCCTGCTTTCAAACCAGCAAGGAAATGAGCCACCAGCAAGCACATCTTCAATGAATACACTTGCACAGAGCCAGCTTCTTATTGAAGGCAGCAGCCTTTCTACTGAAGACTCTGTGTAACGCCAGCAGGAATTTCCAAATGGTACTCATCACAGCTGTTTAGACAGGCAAAACATGTCCAACTGATGCAGGATCGCAACAGAATGCTTAATTTTGGCCGGTTTTGGTGTTTGTCCCCCTCCGTCTTATACAGTTATCTCTTTGTGTTTCAACAGCACCCAGGAAGCTATTCACAGATCTGAACCCTGCTGTGCTACATGGTAAGTAGAACAGATCTACACCACACAGCTATATTATTTATACTGCCCCCTCATCTAAGAGTTGAAGACAGCTGAATCAAGAGAATTGAGAATAAGGACATCGACCAGCTAGATCTCACAAATATTGTTTAGTGGTCAGGAAGTCAAGTTCCCCAGACCTTTTCCTCCCGTCCAAAATTACTGCTCCCAGAGCCAAGTCGGCAGGAGGAAATGTGTGGCTACCTTTCAACTACTGTAACGCAAAGTTCTCTGCTTTAAGTTGTCAGTGAAAGTAGCTTTAAGAACACAAGTTCCCACAGAGGAACAGACATGCTCCATGCAAACAGATCTGCTTGTTACACTGACACACACAAGTCTGACAGAGCTCGACTGTCAGGTCCCTAGATTTGCCCCTCTTGAAAGCCCAAAAGAGAGAGATGTTAAGTATTGGACAGCATTGGTAACCTCTACATTGTCTGTTGTTAGTATCTCTTTGCAATTGAAAGTATAGACAGGAAGAGAGATATAAATGGCAGAACTACGAAATTCTAAACAGTGCTTTAATTTACCTCTCTGATCTGTTTAATCCATGCCTCCCTCCCAAGGAATTCCTGATGCAGGACTGCAGGAGCAGAATTCAAACTGAAGGCCGTGGTGTCACTAGAACTTTCTTTAACAAATGGCTGAAGGTCCGAATGTAGCTGAAAGAGAAGAACATCTTTCTTCAGTTCCCAGGAACGGTCTATACATATCCATTCACTCACCAAATCAAGGTCCATACCCTGATCTTATACCTACTTTGCCATGTTCTGCTTTGACACTTGTATTTTGGTTGCACTTTTTCAAGTTTGGGGGAGGGAGAGGAAGAGGCAGAAAGTTGTGGTAAAGAGAAGCATGTAGAGGATCTGCAAAGAAATGCATAAAGGACAGCTTGCAGAGTTGGGCAAGGGATGGGACACAGCCAGGTAGGCAATTTTTGAGTGGCAGGAAGCAGAAAAAATATAAAGGGAAGAATGATCCAGTCTTTGGTGGGAAGAATATCAGTTTTTCATCTGTGATGGGTAATACATTCTACTTTTCAGTACCCGAGAAAGCTGATGCAGTATGACCCTCTTTCTGACAAAGGAAATGTTACATTGCTAGGAGCTTTCTAGGAAAATGACATAATCATTTCTACACAACTATATGTCAATGATGAATGTATTAATATTAAAGCATACACAAAATCTTAAGGCTATAGTCTGCACTAGAAGCAATTTACTGGTGGAGGCATACCTACTAATAGCATACAGTGGCATTTCCATGGCAGTAAAGCTGTGCTTTATAAAACCACTTCCCTCTCCTGGAGGAACTAGAAACTGTCTAAACCAACACAGCTGAAGTGGATGAGAGGTCTGTCTGCCAGCCTCAAGCTACGTCTATCCTTGCAAGTTGTGCAATACAGTAGGAGCAGACCTTTAGGGCAAAACTAGAGTGCTGAGGACATGAGTGCCACACTGTGTTTTCCTTTGGACTAACAAAGTCTTCTAATGGAGATCAGAAGCCTTCTCTGGGAAATCCTACTGCTGCAGAGGTGCAGGTTGCTTCGGTCTGCATTTGGTGACTTCCTTCCTTAGCCCCAACCATCTCCCCTGGAAGTTACCTCCACTGCAGGTTATTCAGAAGGGAACGTATGAAGGCTCTTAAGCCACCACAGCTCATGCCTCAGCCTCGTGGGCTGCTGCAGGCAGTTAAGCCTCTCAGTACAAACCTCTGCATGGTGGCAGCTCAGACCCAACTCATGCTTTCTCCTGAAACTCCTGTTACTGGGACAGTGGCTTCAGGAAGAAGGTAGGAGCACAAAAGGTAACGTTTTAAGTTGCTACAGAGAGATGCATTAGAGGGATGTTAACAGAGCCCTGAATGAAATAAGCTACGTTGCCAGAATTGTGATTTTGCCAGCTCAGAAGCACTGTTCATACCAGCAGTTTCTGCAAAGATCTTCACACAGGGCAGCAAATCTCTCAGCACCACTGACCTGCCGACAAAAGCCTACAGCACAGTGGCAGTACACGACAGAGCTCAAGAGCAACATATCTTACCAGTCATTCTGTTTTTAAGATCCCAGAACGAAAGGAAAAGGTGTACCTTGTGACTCATAGACATGTGCTTTCCATACTGAAATGCCATGTCCTGAATCTCAGCGCTGTGCTTTGCTAGCTCCATCGCAGCCTGGCAGCTCTTTGCCAGCAAGGCACTGTGTGACAGGAAAACCTGCTCCTTCCACGTAGATATGCCGATATCGTCTGTAAGAGAGTTCTCCTGAAAATGAAACAAAGGCTAACATGAAAACACCGAAATTGCAGCTGTGCCAGCTCCCAGACATGCGGTGGCGATAACACGGTGACACATGGGGAGTAACAAAACTCTGGGTGCCACAGTACCAAATAAAGAAGGGCATTCTTTTGGGGATAAGTAGAGAAAAGTATCAGAATAAATAGTATTAGGCAAATAGTATTAGTAAGTAGGCAGCTTCAAACAACGCTTTCATTTTCTGATCAAAAAGAACAATGCAAAATATGTGGAGCTATCAACAGATTCAACATAGATCCTTTTCTTAATGACTGTATTATTACACTGAACATTAACAGCTGACTCTGTTCCTCATGAGGGACTGGGGAGAAAGTAAAAGAAAAAAATATACCCCCCCCCCCAAGAAGGGAGTACATCTGCACTTCAGCCCCTTGCCAGTTAGCAAGATCCCAACAATCCCAAACAAACTTGAGAAGTCCCTGCAATTTCTCCTTTGCAATCAAGAAAAAAATAATTACAAAAGGTACTAAAAATGCTTATAGAACTGCACTGGAGAGATGAAGGGCTGTGATGGAGGATTTGTACCTCTTCCACCCTCACATGAAAGACGGGGAATGACTGAAAGTATTAAAAAATAAATAAATAATGCTGTAATTTAGAAATGTCAATACTAACTTTCCCAGGGGACTGACAGAGATCCCAGTGTTGCCTCTAGTGAACTTTATCACCTTGACTGTAAGGTCAGAAATGCTCAACGTTCTCAAAATCCTTTGTATTCAAAATATTAGTTTGGATTACTTTCCACAAAGTGTTTTAATTAACACAAATCCACTCCTTTCCCTCCAACTCCAAAGTGAACTGCAGCTCCTTTGGCTCACAAGATGTCAATATGCCACTATTTTACTAACTGGCCTTCAAAGCTAGACATGACTTTGTAACCTTTCTCACATACACATATTATTGTCACACCTTTAGGTAATCTCTAAAGAGGAAAAAAAAAGAAAAACCAAAAAAGACCATAGTTGTTTTCGCTTAGAAAAAACTAAAATCAGTAATGAGAAGCCACAGAAAAAAAAAATCAAGCATATAAACGTTAAAAAGTTTGTAATTCCTTAGTTTAGCCAAATCTGTAGTATAAATTACACCAAAAGGTATTCTTTATTTATTCAAAAAAACCCCACCTCTTATATAACAAACCTTTTCCCCCAAAGTGACGTCAATTAAATTACTTCGAAACGAGCAAGAAGAAATTCTGTGTGACCCTATAGTTTTCTAGCAAGGTATTATCTGTCATGAAATCGGTAACAAATGAAATAGAATCCATCCGTTCAGCTCTAATTTTCCTCCCTTATGGATATCACCCAGAAGTGCTGCGTTACAAGGGAGAGGATAATTTGAGACTAATGGAAAAAGTAGGAGAATTCTGCAATGCCAAGTAACACAGAGCTGTATCAAAATGCCTTTGCTTTCAGACATACTATTAACTTATACAAGGGAAATGAAGAACAGAGAAACCACATGTTTGCTATTATGCATATGATAACTTACATAGTCAAGCCTAAACTTTCCTTGTGTTTCATTTTACTGTAGTATTTTTGTTTTAATATCTTAACTCAGCCCAGAGCATGTGCAAATTCCCATGACTGGCAAAATGTCAAAATGAGCATTTAATTCAAGTAGTTTCCTATATATCAAGTCTTTTTTTTTTTTTTCCCCACTCAGATATAGATCAATTTATTTTAAATTTAAAATCAGGAGCTCTTGGAAGACGCAACACAATCTTTTCCTTAACAACCAATCTGCTCAGCGAAAAAACAGTATTTACTAAAATTTGCTGGATGATATTGAAAATTGGCAGTGATTTTTATAATTATTTGTTTTAAAGCCAACCAAGACAAAAATATTCTAGAAAGGTACCCTGAAACAAATTATGAAGTTAAAAAAATCTTTCAGAAGACCCATAAATTGAAAATGTTTGCTTGCTGGAGCCTTTGAGCAGTAACAGAAACGCAGACATTATCAAATATCAACTGCAGGAACTGAAGAAGCTTAAATGGTCACTAAACTTAATGTATACAAGGAAATAAATTCTATGATTTGTTACAAAAATATATTCTTCTTATAAAAGTTTAAATTTCATCACAGGATCGAAAATGATGGTACAACAAGTTACTCTCCACTACACAAACAGCATGCAGGAGCTTCAAGCATCTAAAATTGACATTTAACTTCAAAAAAAATTGACAAAGATTTGAGACATATTTGAGGTTATGGTACTGAACTCTTAAGAATATAGGTATTGTGAATCTCTGGGTTACAGAAAGAAGCCAGTTGTAAAAAGGCACTGCACTCATATGGATGTGCTTTAGCATATGAGCTTGAAAGCCAAGATCTAGCTGATTTTAATCACACATCATCTTATGGCCACAGACCCCTAAAGCTTCTGCTGTTTCAGATGGCAGAGGCAGACACAACTTTTCTTCAGCAAACTTTTTCAACAATTCAAAAGCCATTTTTTCCCAAACTTAACTTTCATGTTATATACAAACTGTCCACCAACCACACTGGATTCTTACAAGAAGGGTACATATGACAAGATCTAAACACGATTTTAAAACAAGACGAATAATGGAACTAGTTGTAGATTGCAAAGTCTGAAATCTGACATCAAGAGAGCACTTATTTTTAGAGAAATTGTCACTTTTTTGCAAGCTTTGTTTTGTTTTGTCAGCAGTGGATATTTAAAAGGATAAATATAAAAGTGGATATTAGTTGGGCAAGAAGTCTCCTAAAAGCTTTTCATATAAAAGCGTTTTTAAACTCAAATTAATTCTAGCTTTAATTGACAGTCATCAGGCATTCGATTAACTAACGCCTATGGAGTGACCTCATTCACAAGTTCTGTCACCAAGAGATAGGTCCAAATCACAACCAACCCTGATACTGTCTGGGCAGCAGCAGATGGATGAAGAGAGCTGAACCCCTCATCATCCTTGGAAGAAAGCAGCCAACTCCAGATACAGTTTGGATAATGTCAGCATGGCAGTACAGGCAAAACATCCAAATCCAGCTCTGTCGATCATCATTTCCTATGGGAAATTAAGAACAGTTGAGGGTGCTTCCATTTTACTAATGGCAAGGTCGGTTACTGTTTTGTTAGAAAGAAATTGGCTAGTTGAGATTTTTCTTGATAAGCTACTTCCATAATTTAAATTGGGTTTGAAACAATCATCTCAGGCAACAGGAAACAAAAAACCTTTAGAAAATAAAATTGCAGGACAAAACATGTAATCATAACCATTAGGAAGGGCAGCTCTCAGTGATGGTAACAAGGATCCCCACTACAGAAGTGGGGATATTATAATAACTCAGTTTGATTTGTCACACCAAGAAGATGTTTACAGGTAGTTCAGCTGAAAACATATTAAGGAAAACACGAATGAAAACTGTGTCATAAAGTGCACAAAATCATTTGCAAAACCACGAAGGAGCAGAAATCAGAAACTTTTCACTGTAAAACTTCAGCTATAGTTTGTAAGGGAGCCGTTATTTTATTTCCATGCCACGGCAGCTCTTTCTTAGCCACCTGCTGTTGCACAAAGTGATCGAAAAGTGTGAACCACTTATGTCAAACTTTAGTTCAGTTCTCCATGGGCAAATAATGCACAGAAACACAGAGAAATATTTTTAAATAGCATTTTAAAGTTTTAAATTAGGTAGATCAAGAACTCACATTTTACATAAATAAAATCCAATGCAACTACAAATCTCTCCACCAGTAGCTAAATATCTTGCACATGGTTCACATAAGCCTTCAACAGATGTATTTCTGCTTGCTGAACATGACAGGGCATGTTTTATTGGTCTATTAATTCATGTCTTCACTGCTTTTGAAGGAACAGGGGGTCTGCAAATGGGTCAGTAAAACATGCCACCGACTACCTAATACTTTTATTGTAATACTGTAAAAGAAGGAACACAAGATTATAAAAAAGTTTGAAAAATTATAATAAATTTAAATATCTCTCCACATCTGTTACTTTTAAATCTCTCTGGAAAAGCTTAGTATTTAAAAGAACAAAAGCAGTAAACAAATAGCATTGGCCTTCTCTCTAGCTATGTGCTTTTTTTTCCCCTCTGACACATTTACCCACTCTTTTCACAGATGCTCTTTACTCAAATTCCATATTTTATTCTTCCCTTTTGTCTTGCAACAGAAACATTTGTTTAAAAAAAAAAAAGTGACAGCTCTGACTCTGCTGCCCTGCTAAAAGGTTGCTTACATGACCCAAAATACATTTTATTTACCTCCTATAGTGAAATTTATAAGCAAATCCTTTACTTATAACAGACTCATAGAAGTCTAGTTGTAGGACACATGCAGTATCCAATACATTACTCCTCAAAGCAGGACTGGTGACTAAACATTAAACAAGAATTTTTATAACTCACTGCATATAGCCTGTATTTTGCTGGAAAAAAACCCAGTTATTTTCACTTAAAAACCTGATATTGTTCTAAAATAAATACCTGTTAATTCACTATTTGGTACAATGAGTATTTGCCAATAAAGTATTTCTTTTTTCAACTTGTTTTACATATTAGTTATACACAATTTTCCCACAATTGCATTGAAAATTTCAAAAATACCTAACAGCTCTTCGAGCCATCAGTGGAACATGTTGGAAATGGTCTCATCTTCCATAACAGTCCCATTCTGACACTAAAAATGAGTTTTGGTAATGTACATTTAGCATCAGCTAGATATTCTGGAGGTAAGGACAAAAACAGCCCAGGGCTGCTTCCTGTGAAAATCCACAATACTTCAAGATTACAAGAACGGTCTGGCAGGTAAAGCACAAGAACCAACACGCTCAAGTCCTGCTCTTGATTCTGTTATTTGTCCTTGAGCTTCCCTGTATCTCTCATCCCAGTGAACTGACAGGGATGTTACAGCATTCTTCATTAATATTTGCTAAATGATCTGGGATATTAAGATAGAAGGTTTCTAATAGTGCAACAGTATTCTGTGAGTTAGCAAAGGTTTTAGAAGCTTTCAGTCTCCTAAAAGTACGACTATCATGACCGAGGACCAGATCAGACAGCTTTCATCTTTGCACTCACTGAAGGCACCATTTTTTAAACCCAAATTAGACCTAGACTTTATGAAGAAAGACAGGAACTGGGAAGCATATCCTTCACTTACAAGAGTTTTGAGTTGCGAGGGGATTTAGCACACAAGGCTGCAAAGGTTTATCACATCACCCCTTTCTGCTCCAGCTTACAGTCCAAAATATTAGCTTAAGCCACTAATGCAAAGTCTTAAACCACAGCAGCTATTTGCTGCTTTGAACGTGAGTGGCAGCCCTAACCTTCAGGCTGTCTTTGCAACCAAAGCCTACACTTTGTAGTTTGGACTGTCACTTCAAATAAAGATGAAAAGTTAAATATTATCTTTATTTTCTCCATTTCACACAGATCTAATGAATCACTATGCAGACAAGATGAAGAATGACCAAACAGAACACACTAAAATGGGATGGCTGGAGGATTGCATGAGGTTTTACGGAGAAAAAAAAATGTGGTAATGAGAGCCGTCAAATAATTATATCCATTATATGTCTTCAGGAGTAAATAAGGTCAGTCTTGTTAGGTCAAATGATTCTTTCAATTTTCCTACTGGGTCATACAAATGAAGCAAACTGAAATTTTTTTTGGGGTAAACATGAACTTAGGGTCTCAGAGGAGAAAGGTGAGTTCTTCAGAGTTATTTTTGTCTAAAGTAAAAGATAAAACCATCTAGGTAGACATCAAAGCAACTTGCTGCTAAATTAGTCTATTTGCTGGTACTGAGGAGCTTTATAACATCTGCATTAAAGACATTTAACATATGAAGTACAGTTTTTCTGGCTTAAAAAGGGAAAAAACAAGAAAAAGTGAGAAGATATCCCTCTGCTTTTCCTAACTTAAGACATTCCCAGCAATGAAAATGCCATTACTAACATCCCGATGCCCTACTCTTAAAAAGAAATAAAGTGTGACATTTGAGATTTAGTTGCAGAGTTGATTAAAGCATTTGTGTTACCTCTAGGAAACATAGTTCACATTTTTGTTTCAGTCAAATTGCAATTAGGGATGGAGGCAAGAGGCAGAAAGGATACAAATAAAACAGACCAACAACTGACCTGGTCCATTTGGCATTCTTTGCTAAAGAGGTGTTAGGGACACAAATGGGACACTGGCTCAGAAGAATAGTGTGAGGAAAGCAGCAGGGATGTGTCTCATGCCACAGCATGGAGCCAAATTTGTCAGAGGACAAGATAAAAAAATAATAATTAAAGTAGATCCCACACTTGTTTGTTCCAGGTCTCATCAGAAGCCACGCACCACCCATTGAAAGGACTAAACTTCAGACACTGTCATGTATTTTTCAGTATCTATTATGCCACTGTACTAATCGTATTTTGAGTTAACTGGGTTCCTCTTAGGAAGGGTATACTGTACTTTCAACTCTCCTTTGACAAAAAGAGGCACTGAAGCAAAGTAAGTATTTGCTATTTGTAATTGGGCCAGGGAAGCGTAAACACTGCGCAGCTGTGCTCAGTTTATCTCACACTACCCTTGCAACCTACACATGTGGAGTGCTTCAGTATTGCAACAGAAAATAAACAGAAAAAGAAAGATCAAGAAAGATTAAGACCTTCTGCAGTGGCAGGAACCCAAAAAAGTCCACAACATCTCTCATTTATGCAGCAGCCATAGTTAAAATAAAATGCAGTTTCATTGCTGAGATGAACTTGTAGAGCTTTTCTTCTACACACAAAAGAGTAGGTGTTTAAAATGTGATACTTTGGGGATCTACCTTACCTGTATTTAGAAACCTGCTTGAGTATAAAAAAAAAATAAATTTAAGCATTCTTTGCAAAAGTTTCAAAGATGTCATCTATTTTTAGCATCTAACCCTAAACACAGTACTCGGGAGCAGCCCCAAAGGCTGCAGTCTGTTTATCCACGGGTTAAACTCATCAGGTGCAGAAGGATGGCCAAGTGCCCAACATGGCATCGCTGCCACCCGGGGTCCCTCCCCACGAGGTGCCAGAGGACATCTCTGCCATGCTGCCCAGCGAGCCCGTGGCCCCAGGCATCTCCTGAGCCTGCCCTTATCTCTTTCCTGCTGGAGGCTCTCACTTCCTCCAGGGGAGAGCTCAGCTCATCAGCATGATCCCTCCCTGCCTCACTGGTTTCAATCTAAATGAAAGGGATAAGCTTCAGTGAGGTTAGTTTTAGGAACATCTTTGCTGCTGCAGAGCAGGATAGACAGACACCAACCCGCAGAGCCACTGGGTGCAGTGGGACTGGCCACAGTTAGCTGATGGCTCATCCACAGCTTGACACTCACTGCTTGCCCACCGCGGTTTGGCTGGTGTGGGGCCATCAGTGCAGGTATCTCCTGTAGCAATAACCCATGCCATCAGGGCTTCCACCAAGGTATTAATGTTGCTACGTATTACAACATGGCAATAGTAAGCCAGAGCTGCAGTCTAAATACATAACAAATACAAATGAATTCATGTGCTTCTGCAACCTTCAAGCTATTTCGCCTACTGAATATTACAATTCAGGTCTCCAAGGCAAACTAGGCACATGACATTATGTCCCTGTAAGTAAATCTACCTACCTCAGTGGATTTCAAGATAGATATTCACATATACACACCGCTCATCATTGCCATAACAGTGAAAACTTGCTATCATAAAGCCTGTAGAGGTCATGGCAACTTTAAATTATCAATTTTTTGCATGTGCTAAGATACTGTCATAGTAAATGAATGAAAGAATTCTTTTTTGCTCCAACACTCTCCCCAAGCAAGCCTACTTCAAGAAGTGTCTCTACAAGTTTCCTTAAATACTCCAGTAAAGACAAAAATATCTAGATCTAAATTTGACCGATTTTCATCACAATTCTTGCCAAACAATAGCACAGTACATCTGTAATTTCCCCTGAAGAAATACAAGACTATTTTATGTGGAACGCTGGCAGCCACTGCCTTTGCCCACGCCGACTCCTCCAACGTGTGCACGGGGACTTCTGGTGGAGAAGAACACAGTTCTTCTCCACCCACCCCACCCACTGCTGCAGGACAAAACTCATGTTTATACTGTCAAATGGTGAACACTCAGAAGGAGAAAGGACCTGATCTAAGTTCGGGATGAAGCATTCTGTAAACACCTTTAGGCTTGGAAATGAGAGATTTAACATGAAAATGTTAATGATGTTGACAACATTGTAATAAATGCCTTTAACAGAGCCCCGACTAGAAACCTCTGGAAGTGTTTGGAAAGCCCATAGCAAGACAAGTCTAGAGCTCCCGGTAATGACATGTGATATCATTTTATTAAGCACTCACAGAAATAAAATAGTCCCTCCTTGAGCATTTCTAGCAATTTCCATCAGAGTTCACAGGTGTCATAACGATGTTACTGCTGACACCCACTAGGACCGCTGCTAATTCTCTTCCTCCCCCTCCCTCCTTTTAAACAGATGAGAAAGTCATCACATTTATTGTAGTCACACACTAATACCACCAAACTTCTTGGGTATGTCAAACTACTGAAATTCTTACCTCAGATGATTTTGAGTTTTCATAATATATGCCTTGAACTAAGTCGCCAATAGCACTTGAAATGAGCTCCACAACCTGTAAAAGAAAAGGAGAAAAAGCCTTACACATTTATTACCAAATTTACTAACAAAGCTACTGCCGGATTTCCAGAGAGATAAATGATCATAAATCTCCCTGCAGAAAGTTAGTTGTGAAAGACGACAGGATTTACTGGGATATACCCTGCACAAGCACGAGCCTGCCTCTCCACTAAAACCTCTACTACAGTAACTCTTCTATCAAAGTTTTAAGTTAATATAAATGAAAAAACAAGACTTTTTTTTCCTAAAGTGTGAACTATGGAGTGTATTCTCACAAGGACGTTCACAGAACTAATAAATCCCAGCTCATGAATATGAGACAGTACCTCATCTGGGCTTTGTTTTGTTTTGTTTTTTTCCTGCCAAGTAAATACCTCACAATACCTCTCAATGGGAGCTGTTAAAATTCTAATCTTCATGGCTAATACAGAAAAGTCAGAATCCATAGAAAGGTAACCTTTCAAATGTGATCATTTGGTATTCGGGTGCCCTGGGAATGCACTGTGGATGTATTTAGTGCATGGCCTGAGGCTCAGCTGTACCACATACACTGAAAGTCTGCAACACGGGAATGTTTAAATCAGATTTATCAATCTGTATTATCTTCAGGGTTCAGACTTTTTATTTTATTCAAGCAAAGCCTAAAAATCTGAACTTGATCCAGAATGTAAAACAAGCAGTCCACGGTCTCCCTGGAACTACTGTACAATTTAAAGTCGTGCACACGAACTGTCTTAATTGGAACAAAATACTCGGATTTATTGCAAAATTAAATACAGGCATTTCAAATAAGCACACCTTAAGGCTACCCCTTTAGTTGCTCACAAAGTTTTAATTTCTTGAATGTTTAATTTCCTATGCATATGAGTCTATATCTGATCCCTCTTTATGCTTCCTACAATTCAACACAGTTCTTATTGAATTAAAAGATTTAGTTTCAATTTTTATCATTCTTGTAACTGAAGACAAGAAGTCAAATGATAAAACCCCTGACAGAAAGATACTTTAACATTTAGGCATACTTTATTTGATAATAAAAACACATTTGTATGCTAGTTTTGAGTACTAGCAGAAAGGTTGTATTTTTTTTTTAAACACTGTTTCATATACATATTCATATACACAGAGCAAGTGCTAACTTTAGAAATGGTGCTGATTAAAAGTCATGTTTTTTCTTGCAATGCATATGGGTTAATTTGCAAGACCTATAAAAACAGCCAAAAAAAAAAAAAAAAAAAAAAAAAAAAAAAAAAAAAAAAAAAAAAAAAAAAAAAAAAAAAAAAAAAAAAGAAAAATCACGTTGCCCTTTAGGAAACTAGATACCAAAGAAATATTGTAGCAATAAGAGCTGCAGAGGAACTGAAAGGACAATGATCCTACAGTGTTACCAGATGTGTTGAGTTATTTAAGTGGGGAACAGAGAAAATGAGGGGCTTTTTTTTTTCCACTCCCCCCCTCCCCTTTTTTTTTTTTTTTTAGGTAGGTATCAGATAAGCCCTATTCCTAAATCCAGGAGGATTGAGTATCGCCAATAGGTCTATGAAAGTCTGTAACTAAATGCCCAGGATCAGATTGTATTACAGTTTATACAAGCAACATCCCAAGATTCTTCTGATGGCTAGGACACATAATACAGATCAATCACTCACTAAAAAATGTTATGGTTTGTGAAATGGCCTGAGCTCAGAGACCTACACTGGTAATACGAAGAGGAATTTACAAAGACACTGAGTCCTACTCTAAATGTCAAAGTGATAGTATGAACTTTTAACAATGCATCTGGCTCTGGATAACTAGACCTTTTCCTCTCTCGCCTGAAACTCTAGACTGAGCAGGACCCTGTTTTGGGGTTTCTTTTTTCCATCTCTCCTCTCTCTTTTTAGTGCAACTCTACTCTCAAAGGCAATTTTAACTGACTTAAAACAATCTTGGTGAAACATTTGTGAACAATTGTACCTCTTCCTCCTATAGTTTATAAAACATCTTAGGAGAATTACATATCCACTGTTTAGAAGAATCCACACACTAAATACCATTAGGCCTTTAGTGACATATTGAACACTATATGTTAGCAAGAATTTAGTATTAATATTACCTCCCTTCTTTCCAAATGTCTCCTCTTTAAAATAAAATAAAATATATTTTTCTAAGGTAAATGCAAGGCCATACAGATCACTACCAGGAATGAAATTTCAGTTTCAAGAGCACAGTGGGATGCTTGCATGAGCCTCTGTTACTTCATCAACCCTTAATCCGATCTATGAAAAGCATCTGCTGCATAACATCAGTGGCCTGGGGTCCTGAGTGCTGGGAAAAGCAATGAGAAATGAGGAAACCAGGTAATTTTCCTCTGTATCCAAAACTGACATAGAGGAAGAAAAATTATTACAGATTCAGTAGTATTCATGCAGTCAACGATACACTGACTAGTTCTTATGCAGCACTTTTCATCAGAAAATTTGAAAGCAATCAACATCCCCTGTGCAATTTATTCCTTCCTGTTTTATATAAGGGGAAAACAGTGACAGGGAACTGATTTTCCCTAAAATCATACAGTGCCAGTGGAAGAGCAGAAAACAGTATCCAGGTCATCTCTCTTCTCACTGGTGCCTTTCTGCCTGACCAGGGCCCTGTTCCACTCGATGCTTCTGATAAGCAAGTTTGAAGAACAGGAAAGGTAGATGAAAAATCAAGTGCTCTCAACTGCTTTTCTTTCTTCTCATTTGAAGGTTGAGCTCCATTTTAAACAAGTTCAAAGATGGGGAAAGAGAAGAAAGGATTGCCAGAATCAGTGCTTGAAAACAGCGGTGTCTCAAAAGAGACCAAAAGCAGCCTATTCATAACCTCTCTTCCCACTGTTCCTCCACTCCTTTACACATTTTTGAGAAGCCTGGTCCCTCTCAGGTACTGCAGATGAGCAGGAGTAACATCATATTGAGAGAAAACAAACTTCCAGTCTATTTTTCATTTTCCACTCTGCATCAGCATCTTCCAAAGCACTGTGTTTTCTGCTCCCCTGGAGCATCCGCAGGGCTAGGAGCAGCCCAGGGGACGACCTGTTCTTTGCAGGTGATAAGTGAAATCACATGCAAATAATTTCACGCCCTTTAAACACATGTTCTTCAACAGTTCTGCCAGGGTTTGGCGGGGGGTTTTTTTGTGATGAGTTGGTTTGTTTTTTTTTTCCTAAGGAGGTATAATTTCAACACCTTTTGCAAAGATGTGATCTCTTCTGCTTTTAAAAGGTCAACACAAAAGCCATCAATTTACGATGAACATAGGGAAGAGATGGATTGTTAAAGCTTAAATCTCTCCGACTATTTAGGCAGACTCGGTGTTTAACATGATGTAAATTCTGGACACAAGCACGTGATGACTGATTCCATAGCAAGACAGAGTTCATGCTCTGACCTCTCTGATTTATGCAAATGTGAAATAGTCCAGAAGCCTGAGCTGAGTTTCAATGCCAGAAGAGCTCTGTAGGTTTGAAGATCAGAAGCTACTGCTAGAGTAACAGTTGTCAAAAAAGCACAGCTTTAGCCCTTCAACGTTCTTTAAATTTACTTTGAATCTACTTTCCCAAACTCAGATTTTCTAAATACCGATTGAAGAAATAAAAGCAGTGGTAATTTTCTTATCAGTTCAGAAAATTACTTGGGACATTCAACAAACCACACATTGACTTTGCTCCCTCCTTTTTCTAAACTCAGACTTAATCTTTCAGGTAACTTACTTAGAACCCACCTATAAGATATTTCAGGGTTCAGAATTCCCCAAGCACTCTGTGTACACGACGACCCAGAAGAGGGCCATGTGTTCACTGTACAGCAGCCTGGCTCTTGCCTATAGTTGACCATCTGAGGAAATCTGTCTATAAAAACCAGCCATGTATTTTAATTCAAGTGAAACTTTAAAGCTAGAAGGTCTACAGGAAAACGCCAGAATACAAGACATTTTGGTACAACGCTTTCTTTGAAGTTAGAAGATACAATTCAGACTCCTTCAAGCACAGTAAAAAGAATGAATTCTGAGCCCCCACTCATCCTTCACAAGATTTCTCAACACCTTGGATGAAAAGAAGACATTGCTGCCATCAGTTTAGCAACTCAAGCACTTTGTTCCCTTTGCTTGTCTTTGAAATATTTTGTTTAAAGTTCACTGCAACATAACACTGCATATGTATTTTTTCCTGTTTCTCATGCTAGTTTAAAAAAAGGAATGAATTTGAGCTCCATTCAACGTGTGATGGTTTTATTTGAAATTCAGCAGTTGAAATGGAATTGATTACAGAGACCACTATTTCAGAGTAGTAATACAGTGTCTCTACACACTCTACCAGATATTTTCAAGGGAAACATCAGGGAAAGGATGAAGCTTTTGTGGGAAGACAGGAAACAGCACTAGGAAGAACACAGCAATGGATGTATCTTTGCTCCTCGCCCTTTCCAATTTCTATTTGACAAACATCCTTAGCTTTGCCAAATTCCTTTCAAGAAGGACCACAAGTAATTTCTTCCTTTCTTAGTCTTTCTCTTTCTGTCTCTTTGGGCTGCGGGTCTTGAAACAATATCCTTTCCTCACACAGCTGCTATGACAGACCCTACTCCATGCTGCTGATGTACAGACTTGAAAACGTAGCAAGATTTCTCCATACAAGAAGAAAAATTTGACACTCAGAAAACATTAAATATACAGATAAAAGTTTCTTCAACTTGCATTTGACTTGCTCTCCACCACCCACCCTCTTGTTAATTTCCACACCTAAAAATTCCATGGAAAGTTATTAAATGAAATATTCTTCTGCATTTGACACAGAAACATTGCAACACTAGGAAGCTAAAGACAAAAGTCAGTAAACTGCTGAAATTGGATTTTGATTGTTCAATAATACCTAAAAAAAAAGGAGCAAAAACTCTAAGGAGTTCCAAGAAAACTGGAATTCAATTTTCCTTCCCGGTAATCTCCGTAAACATCATTAGTCATACAGGTAACTAA